GCTCCGGCGAACGCGCGCTAGGATGTGTGGGTTCGAAGCACGGGGGTGCTGGCGGCGGTGGTGGAGGTGGAAGTGGTGGCGGCGGCTGCTGCTCTCGGAAGAGGTGGCCGCGCCGCCAAGATGCGCGGGGGTTGGAAAAACGACAGGGAAAGCCCGTAGCGGGCTACCGGTTACTACGCGGACGCATGCCCGCTGATAGCTCAGTGGAGCGCGCGACTTCGTGCCGTAAGCACACTTCCTGCGAGTGGATCTCTCTCTTCTCTCTGTCTATCTCGCACACACACAAACACACACACACACGTTCCCTCCCTCTCTCTCTCTTTCTCTCTCTCTCTCTCTCTCTCTCTCTCTCTCTCTCTCTTTCTGTCTTGCCGTGCGTATGTGTATGTAAGTGTAGGTGTGCGTGCGCGCGTTTCTTTCTCGCTTCGCTTCGTCTCTCCTCTGCTGTCTGTCTCCATCTCGGTCTCGCTCGTCGCCGCGAGAATGGCAGGCCCGTCCGCTGGCGAATAAAATCGGTGGTGGGCGATATGGCGGAGGGGATGGTGATAATCGCGAAAGAAAGGGGGTAAGAGGGAACGCGGGGGAAATTTTCGTGCATTTTGCCGCGATACCGGTGTACGGAATAGCGAGGCGAAGGGCATAGACTGCGAGTGATAAGGGGGTTGTGAGAGAAAAATTGCTGGTGATTAATATTTAGAGTGGGATTTAAAAGTTGAGGGAACGCGCGCGGAAAAGCAGGATGGGAGAGAGAGATAATATCTGATAGAAGATGGAGGCAGAGAGAGAGAGAGAAAGAAGGAGAGAGAGAGAGAGAGAGAGATAGAAAGAGAGAAAAAGAGAGAGTGAGCATCAATAATATCTGAAAGATCGGAGTAGCTCGAGCGAAATCTTGAGATGTAACAGTCTGTGTTTTCTCCCAGATATGGAGCGAGGTGCAAATATCTTATAAGGTGCAACGTGAAAAATTCTGTTTCGTTAAAAAAAAAAAAATTAAAATGGAAGAGAAAAGCTTCTTGTGCGAATCGTGAAGATAGCGAATATCGTCGAAAAGAAATCAAGGTGGTACAGAATAGAAAGCAAAGAGAAAATCAGACTCCCGTTTCTTCGCGTGATCTAGAAGAAAGAATCTACGACGTAACATTAACCACGATACAATAATGGTAAATGAAGATAAAAATATAAAGAAGAAGAGAAAAGAATTACATTGATTTAAATTATGAATTAATATAAATATAAATCATATAAATTATAATATATTGAGATGGAGTAGAGAAAACAAGAGAAAAGAATGAAAATATCATCAACTAGATTTCAATCTTCTTTGCCATAAAGAGATATTAAGAATACTTTAAATAATTTTGTTTTTTCTTCTTTCGCGTTTCTATAAGAAAATGATTGAGAAAGATTACAGAAGTCAGGATTACGCGGATCTCTTTCAGAGAGAGAAAATCGTAGGTATTATTCTCGTCTAACGCGTGCGTAATATTTCGTTTTATCCGTCGTTTTACTGTATTCACGTTGATAGTATCCGTGATCGCGTATCTCGCAAATCCGTAACATGTACCGTAGCCGTGATAATCTATACAAATGGCTATATTGTAAAACAATCCAATCGCGGGTGTTCACGCCTTTACACATCCGCCGATCTTTCACTCTTTTGACACCCCCATTTTCATCCGCCGAAACACGCGCGAATATACGTTTATTTCCAACAACCGACAGCCGGAATTGATAGAAAGCCCTCGCCAGCTGTTCGTTATGCAGAAACCATGACGGTTGCCTTTCCCAACTTTTCTACGGCCTGACGTCGAAGCATGAAATTTTCACGCCGCGTATTTCCGTTCCACTCGAATAAAAAAGACCACTCGCGATTCTATAATAATTTCGCTATTATGTTGCGAGGCAAAATTTAATCTTCAAGCAAGCATATATTCTTCATTCTTAAGACATCTTTATTTTACAGAATGTGCATATTATATTCGAGAGAATATCAATTGCTGGCATAATCCAGTAACTAGCTCCACCAGTTATATTTACGGAGAGAAATGTTTATCTTATAGACAATCGGACTCTCTCTAAATGCCGAGTGTGTACCTCACGGATATGATAATGCGGGATATACGGTGTATAATCGAAGATATACACCGTCGAAAGGGAGCGTAGTGGGAATTTGAATAGCTACGAGGTATTTCTACGAGGTGCTATACTCGGTGACTTACACACTCGCTTAAGTATTCCATTGTGCAGCGGAGTTCTGCACGCGATGCCCCGCATAGAGCAGCGGGCGCTTCCAAAAATACACGTTTCGTTTCGGCGTTTCGCGCACGTCGATATGCAAACGCATCAGTAATTCATGGGCCGTGGCTCGTTTCGAGAGTTTGCAGCAATAAAGAGAAGGAAACTAGAGAATTTATTAGAAATTTCCGGTTTGTAATAGGCGAAATTCCTCGGAGTGCTCTTCAATGCTGTCGAATAATGAAACATTCTTCGGAGAGATCGATATGCACGTACTTATCACTTTTTTCTCTCCTACCTTATTTCTTCTTTCCCGATGTATGTGATTGCTTATTTTATCGCTCTGCCTTTCTTTCCTCCGCGAGTCGAGTTTTAATTGTTTAAGCATTTTTTTTTCCAGCGATTATATGTCGCTCAAAAAAGTGATAAAAGAATGAATTTTTCGGCAAAAAAAATAGATTATTGCGATCTTTTCTCTCGTTTTCTATCTGTTACTCTGTAAACAAGGATGATGAAAAAGTATTGAGTGAAAATGGAGTGTTCGGCAAGCAAGGCGTGAACCATAAAGTGATTTCCAAGTGACAAGTATTGAGTGCGATCAAACGGCGAGATTCTGCTTTCAGCTCCGGTTCTACTTCCTTCAGTTTGGCTCGCTCCGAGAGTATTGATATTTCGCTGCAAGCGCTCAAAGACTCGAAGTTAACTGGCGTAGAAAGTATGAGAAACACGTACCTGTCCCCGACAAAGGATGCGTGCAGGAGCTGATTTTCGGACTCGTTCAAGTCGCACGTCGAGTATAAGCGGAAGGAAGATAATCAACGGAGACTGACAAACACGCGAAGAATGGAAGCATGATTCTGGTAACGCGGGTCATTCGAGAGAATATCAATTGCTGGCATAATCCAGTAACTAGCTCCACCAGTTATATTTACGGAGAGAAATGTTTATCTTATAGACAATCGGACTCTCTCTAAATGCCGAGTGTGTACCTCACGGATATGATAATGCGGGATATACGGTGTATAATCAAAGATATACACCGTCGAAAGGGAGCGTAGTGGGAATTTGAATAGCTACGAGGTATTTCTACGAGGTGCTATACTCGGTGACTTACACACTCGCTTAAGTATTCCATTGTGCAGCGGAGTTCTGCACGCGATGCCCCGCATAGAGCAGCGGGCGCTTCCAAAAATACACGTTTCGTTTCGGCGTTTCGCGCACGTCGATATGCAAACGCATCAGTAATTCATGGGCCGTGGCTCGTTTCGAGAGTTTGCAGCAATAAAGAGAAGGAAACTAGAGAATTTATTAGAAATTTCCGGTTTGTAATAGGCGAAATTCCTCGGAGTGCTCTTCAATGCTGTCGAATAATGAAACATTCTTCGGAGAGATCGATATGCACGTACTTATCACTTTTTTCTCTCCTACCTTATTTCTTCTTTCCCGATGTATGTGATTGCTTATTTTATCGCTCTGCCTTTCTTTCCTCCGCGAGTCGAGTTTTAATTGTTTAAGCATTTTTTTTTCCAGCGATTATATGTCGCTCAAAAAAGTGATAAAAGAATGAATTTTTCGGCAAAAAAAATAGATTATTGCGATCTTTTCTCTCGTTTTCTATCTGTTACTCTGTAAACAAGGATGATGAAAAAGTATTGAGTGAAAATGGAGTGTTCGGCAAGCAAGGCGTGAACCATAAAGTGATTTCCAAGTGACAAGTATTGAGTGCGATCAAACGGCGAGATTCTGCTTTCAGCTCCGGTTCTACTTCCTTCAGTTTGGCTCGCTCCGAGAGTATTGATATTTCGCTGCAAGCGCTCAAAGACTCGAAGTTAACTGGCGTAGAAAGTATGAGAAACACGTACCTGTCCCCGACAAAGGATGCGTGCAGGAGCTGATTTTCGGACTCGTTCAAGTCGCACGTCGAGTATAAGCGGAAGGAAGATAATCAACGGAGACTGACAAACACGCGAAGAATGGAAGCATGATTCTGGTAACGCGGGTCCGGCGAATTCGACGAAGAGCCAGAAGAAGAGCGTCCTGAGACCGAGGAGAAACTGGGTGGCATGACGAGAGATTGCGGGGATACGGATACCCGCGAGGACGGCGGGGTCGGCGAGGCTCGAATCTGTTGACTCAACCGTCTCCAGCAGGGCAAGATCCCGGCATGCGTCCGGTCGAGCCAAACGCGACGTACTTCCGTTTAAGTTTACGCATTATACGAGAGATTCCGTTTTCGACGAAGAAAATTATTGCGAAAGCGCTAACTATGTCATCCGCGGAGCATAAGTGTCCCCGGCGAGACACGACTCGAGAGAAAACACGTACCTTTCGCTGATGTCGTCGCAGGAGGTGATTTCAAGTCAGCATCCATCCCCGATATCTTTTGTGGCATGTATGTGACCCCAACGACGTGGAAAGAGATTTCCGGCAGCAGAGCCTCGAAAAGACCCGGTACCGAGGGTGGTACAAGCCTGTGCCCCTGGTACGGTACCGTTTCCTGAAGGACGAGGCCGGGTGGTCGCGTGTGCGCGAGTGTGTGTGTTCATCCGAAAGAGAAGAAAAAAGAAAAAAAAAACACGGGGAAACTCAAAGGTATCTTTCGTGCGGTGATACCCGCGACTGAGTACCTCTTCGAATCGCTCGAGTTGTCCACCTTTCGTGCCAGGTGCTTGCGTGCAAGACCATCTGTGCGAATCGGTATCAGAAGATACCGTCGAACGATGAGACAATCTGGCGGAGCATCCTGAGGAATAGCAAAAGGTATGTTAATCAAGTTAAAAATTTTTAAGAAAACATAATGATGTATCTGCAAATAGTCTCTAATAATTATCTGCATAATGAATGTTATTTAATTAAATTAATTAAATCAAAATTAAAATTTGTTTTTGCTAAAAGAATATAAACGAGTATATTTTCTTTGATAAAAAAATTAATGAATAATTTGAGGTTACATAGAACGCTCTTTGTCTATAAATTTACTTTCAGATACCAAAGTATTATAAGCGTTATGAACATTATGTATGAGCAATTATACTTTAGTGCTTTCACATTATCATATCTAAGACTTTTTATTTAGTAAAAAAATATTATCATGTGAAATAAAAGGGAGAGAAATAGATGTCTAGTAACTGATAATGATTAAATATAAAATTTTCGAAGAGATCTTTCAATTTTTTAGAACAAAAGATTCGTTCACAATAAATACTATAATACGTCGCGCACAATTCTATCTTGCAACAGTTCTTAGGATTTTTCCTTCAATGGAGCTCCGGCTCATTTTTATCCAATAACCGTGCAATAAGCTCATATTCGGAGATACCTAGTCTCCAAGATGTTTTAAAATAAATGTTTTTATCTCTCATTATATATATAAAGACAATGGAAAACATTAACAAACGGCAATATTTTCTCAATCCAGATACAACAAAAAGCTCATGAAATTAATAGCTATCTCGCGTTTTACGTTACGTATTCCTATGATATTGTATATCCCTTTTTAAATAAAACTTTTTAACGTTTATATTTAAAAGTAAATAGATATTGCGCAGTCTGTTTTTAAAATTTATTGAAAACAGATTATTGGGATTTATCGCGGGCGGTAAAGAATTTATTGGTTAAAAAGATTTAATATATAGGCATATGCACACTGACGAAATATGAATTCACGTTTTTCTTTTATTATCTATGCAAAAATGATTGACATATGGGATTCTATTATACCAGTCGAGAATCTTTTCGATATGTGTAACAGAAATATATAATTATTCTAATAATTTTAAAACGCCCTGATAATAATTAATATTTAGTATTTATCAAGATTTCTCGTAAATGATATAATTTAATATAATGACATAAATCGTATCATCATTTGAGAGAAAATGATATGATAATGTACTCTCCGGGAAGACAGATGATAGTCATTTGGTGGGACCATCCTCTCGGTATCCTCTTACGCCTAGCCCTATATGAACATTCTTGATACCCTTTGCAAAATTTATTAAGAAAAGTCTGATGCGTAAAATGTGCCTCGGATAGTAATATCTTAGTTATTAGTAATTGAATCGGCATGAAATATGTGTGAAATTGTATCAGTTTCAACAAAGAAAGGTCGAAAAAGGAAATCACATAGGAAAACGAGAATAAAGAATATAATCATACATATATATGTGATTATATGATGTTAAAATAACAAAGGAATATTCTGATATTTTTCAGAATATTCTTTTATAGAAGATACATTAATTGTAAGAGAAATGATATTTTAACAGATTTAAGCACATCAATTACAAGCTTAACATTGAAAGTTAAAAGATTTTAAAGAATCAAGACTTTTTTGACAAATAAATAGTTTTATTCTTCGATTAAATTTAATTGAACAGAAATTTCATTTATATTCAATTTTTGAAATATTTAATATTAAAAATTTGCTCATTTTCCACAAAGTTTTCATTAAAGAAATTGATTTTAAACTTATTTTCAAATTGACCAAATAATTTATTTATTTTACTTCCTTTTTTCCTTTCCAATCTTTTATATTTTATCGTCAAATGGAATGATTGCGAAAAAGTTATTTATCGGATAAAACGCTTTTTAAGATCATCGTTGGCACAAGATTGAAAGGCGATTTCTAAAGAGTTTTACGCGACAGAATCCACACTTTGCATCGCTTCTTTATCATACACTTTATCACCGACATACGAAGCCATAATCGGACTTTAATATTTGTAACATTGAATTACCGTGATTGCACCATCATCGTCATCTCCTTCTCACTGTGAATATGTGAATATACATTCAAATATCAATTCGCAATACCTTCGGAGTTACGCGTCTGTTTTATTAAACTCTGCTGGTGCATAGGAATGCACAGCACGTAGTTTACATACATTTTCTTGTATAGCGATCGTTGCAGCGATATCACGGAAAATGAAGAATCTCGAGAAAAAGTTACATACCGAGACTAATAACGAATAACAGAGAACCGACGTTACTTTTCAATCCGTTAACACACATGGACAATAAAAATTTTAATTATTCATTGTAGTTATTTATTTAAACCAATCTTACAATAGTGGTTACTCAAATATAAAGACATGGCAGTTGAAAATTAATGTTTCAGCGAGAAATACTAAACGCGGTGATACGGAGATATTACATGTCACCTAGATTCATTTTATATTCAAGATCTTGGTTCTCTTTTTAACATCCCAGACAGTATAAAAAAAAAACCAAAAGACATCTTGAAGAAGTCTAAAGCGTGATAAGACGTCTTCAATTCGTTTTTTCAAACGTCCTTTAGGGACATGTGTTGTCTGGGGATGTCATCATTTTCGTTCGTGAAATTACGAGCGAACGTTAATCCGACATAAATGGAACGTTCATCTGACATAACTTATAACGAAATATTGAATGCACAGATGGGAAAATTTGTGAATCGCATGCTGCTATTTTTCTATGACGCGTCAATCGATCGTATCTCCCAGAGCGGGGAGTACCCGCGAAATTGAAATGGCCGCGGAAGATCGCTGATCGAGAAGGGCGGGGGAGGAATGCAATTTCTGCCGCGACACGAAAATTTTCGATGCCATTTCTGCCGTGCCTGGTATATTCGAGCTTACTGAGCCATCGCGCCTATTTCGCTGAATTAAGTTTTTATATTCCGCATTAGTGTTTTAAATAAAGAAAAAAAGATGAGGTTCTAATCATATTGACGAGCAATCGCATATTCAACATTTATGAAAAATACAACACAATCCAACTTTATTTTATTATTATATATTGTGCATCTTATATAAATTCGTATTCTTTCCAATTTATAATATTTGAAGTTTTAGCTCTAATATAGCATATACGAAAATTATAGTATTTTATATATAGAGTATCCATATAAAATATATACGATATACGCGGATAGAGCCGTACAAGGAGAACACAAGCCGAATATAATGTCTTTTGACAGAATCGCTTTCCTAAATCATGAATCCTAAATCATGTTATAGTTTCGTGAACGCACTCATTGTCAGAGATAACCATTTAACAATTGTACTGTATAATAACTGTAATAATAGACAATAACAGCATGTTTGCCACTCTGTAACTTTGGTTAAACTTTGATGCAGCAACATGTGTGCTGCATTATATCTGTGAGCATGTAATCTCTAATAATGTTACTAATCCACGATATTTCTATCAATAGAAAGTAATGCTCGCCGCTTGCAGGAATATATTTATAATTTTATAACGATTTATTCATTCTTTTTAACGGAGCGCATATTTGCTTCAATAATTTATTTTCTAGAAAAATATTATTAAAAAATTGCATTAATTTGTATGAGAATAGAAAGTTTTTTTTTATATATTGCACAACAGTTATATGCAATAAATTTATTAATATTCTCTCATATAATCATGAATATTAATCATGTGCATACATATATATTTTCTGTGTGTATATGTTGTGTCAGAAAAAATACACGTTATTATTCTTAAAAATATTAAATCTAGTTTTTCAATTAAAATATTGGCAATTATTTTCGTTGAATATAAAAAAATATTTAAATATATCAATCTGTATGCAACAAATATTTCCTTTCTCTTCCTTTGTAAAAAAAAAAGAAACTCAGAACTAAGATGCGAGCCGAGCATATTGTGGCCATTTTACTTCTGCTTGTAGTAAAAAGTTGATTCTAACTTCATAAGCGAACAAGAAATTGTCATTACAGGGTTTAACGCTTCAAGCACTAGTGAAACTTTTGTTCTCGGTCGCGGTAAAAAACCTTTTCACGTTAAGCCCGGCAACGCTATTGTAGATGTCGAACTCTCTCTCTTAAAGTTTGATAAAATAAAATGAGTGGTAACCTACTTTATGTTTACTAAGTAGATAAAATCTCACGTAAGCAAATCATCTTTATATTGTAATTAAAGAAACCTGCTTCTTATCTCCAATCGGAGAAACTTTCTCAGTGATGCTGAGCTTCTTCGCATATAAAATGACATCAAAAACACGATATAATTTGGATAATTTTTACTTAGTTAAAGAAAAAAATATTTTATCTAATTTTCAAATTTTCTAATTGAGATTTAACCGAATAATGTCGCATTTTTTTATGTCATTTCATTTGCAAATTTCTTATTAATCGAATAAAATTACATTCAAAAATATAAAAAATATAAAAATTTTATAAATGTTTTTATATATTTTATAAATGCACTCTGTTAAACACTATTTTTGCTCTGAACTATTTATGCTTATATAAATTTATATATAATAGCTTTTAATGTGCATCAGTGCGCACTAGTGCATCCAACTGAATCTATAAATTAAAAACGACAAACTATCCGATCTCGTTAAAGTGACTTTTTTTTATTTCATAGAAAATATATAATTGGATTCGAGTAAATTATCAAATGTGAAATGTCACTGTAAGAAACCATTCATAAAACAATCGATGTAACATTCGCGAGGTTTCATCTGACCGTAGGCAAACAATGGTTCACTCGGGCGTACGAAGGTAGTTATAGTTATCAGACAATCAATCACATTGTCCATTTTTATATACAGACGACTATTAGAAAAGGACATTTCGAAAAGGCGGAATAGTCGTCAAACCTAAAAATAACTGTTATTCGTGTTTCATATTAAGTAATCCATTACAATATCAATCGATAAACATACTTGGCTACACTTACGTTTAGAGAGGAAAAGGAATGCTCTGTTGTGTGTCTTTAGATCATACAAACGTCGGTTGTTGGACGATGACGGACTGGCCGTCGTCGCGGTGGAGATGACTACCAGGTTAGTGGCTCGTCCCGAAGACGACGACGACGACGACGAGGTCCACGAAGAGGAACGAGACTCGGTTGTGAGCTATCACTGCCACTGATAGAGCTGGCATCCCGTCGCAGCTCACATCGATGCCGACCGTCATATCCACGAAACGAGGTACGATCGAAATACCTCGTTACTTCTGTTACAGAATAGTGAGTCTTCTGCGCACATATAAATCGTCTGCAGAGACTTGTCTTCCCATATATCTTCTCGAAAAATGATAAAAAAGAGCGCCAAGTTTAGGTCCGTTAAATCAATTATATAAAATTCGTCTCTCGTGAAAAATGATGTATAAAAATAATGAGACAGCAGAAATTAAATCGTTATTACATTATTGAGCACGCTGTAGAAAAAGAATTTTCAGCGAACCGTAATAATTTTAGATAGAATTTGGAACTGCTTATCTCAAAATCTACATTAAAATAGAATTTGAAATTGCTTATTGCGAAGTCTACATTAGATATCGAAACACGCTACTTGCTGAAAAAGTTTTTTAATTAGAGATATAGAGGAAGATATGTATGTAGAGAGCGTGCATATACAAGATAAAATCGTTGGAATATTGACGTAGTAAGTATGTTACTAGAACGATATTGGCCGATCCGTTATCTTCCATCGCTCTGTTCCCGATTCCATTTTGCGGCTAACATAGCTAATGTAACAAAAGAAGGTCTTTCGTCATTGTGTACGCACTATATTTGATCATATGGTTTGAACGATAATCACCTATTTGCACGCGCACTGAAAAGCTAAATGCACGTTCGTGAATTAAAAGGAGAATTTTATAATACATATTAGATTTAAAATAGATACGTTAATAAACATTTATCACGAAACATTGCGAAAATATATATCCACAGGTCTTACAATATAACGAGAAATCCGCGAGTTTATTCGCTCGAAAGTTCTCTTTGTTGAACAGATAGAAACCGCAGATAGTAAAATCCGATGCACAAGTGAAACGTCGGTGCTTTTACATCTGAATAAACGTCGACGTTACTTACACTTTGTGCCAAAATAATTTGACACTCATGCTTATCGTTTTTTCCTGCCAAAATTTAATGGGTCGCAATAGAAGGGGAGAGATGCTCGGTTTTTATTGGAAAGCTATCAGAAAGTGTTTTTATTTACCACGATTCTAAAAGAGATAATCTCTGATAATCATCAAAAATATATTTTTTTTCTATTAATTAAGCATTTAAGCATAACACGAAAGAGAACGAAATTTCATATTATAAATCATTTTATCATATATTGTATCCCTCATAATTCTTTAATTAATATCACCCCTTTCCCTTTTTTTACTTATAACCGATTATCTTAAAAAACTTGGAATGATATTTTACTACATGTAGTATGTCAGTTTTTTTGAAATTCACTTGATATAAGTCGAATCATCTACTCGAAGAAACGATCTGTCTCGATTTTGTCAACTGGAAAGGGATAGATCGCAATATTGTCAGCGCAAATATCGGAGAACGTGGAAAGAAGGAAGGCGGATGACTAGAGATCAACGTCGAGGCGGAGATATTTAGGACTCATTGTTCTTCTAATGGTTGCCATGCATATTGACTCGATAGATGTGCCTGCGGCTTCCACTAACCGCCATTTGTTCCCTTTCGCCTTTATTCACCGCGGCTGTTCTCGTAGGAAAGTGTCCAGCACGATCCCTTAACGCTGCTTTATCCTCGCTCCGACGCGATCTTCTCTTGAACTTTGATATTTATATTTTCTTGCTGCTGTTACTTACTGCAATAATTGACACGGATATACAGTAATAATGACTCTGATGCGTATCTACCGACGATTATCGCGATCATAAATTCTCTCATAAGAATCGAGTCATCGAATAAGACTTGACAAGAGAGAGAAGGGGAGATAGTATCGATCGGAGAAATTTTTTTTATCAATTTCGCAAGCGATCTAAAGCGTGCTCTTGTTTCTTCAGGCTATTCTCTCACTCAAAAAAATGTCTTGCTGATATAGGTAGATTTCTAGGTGTCACAACAAAACTTTATCGCTATTTTTTGTATCTGTTAGAATATTGTCTGTTACATATAGAATTTATAGCAGCAATATTCTAATAATATCTTCTAGAAAATTTAGGTCCCATTGCCAAATGTTAATCACTGCATTGGATAAATATGAGTTTCGATACTACAGCTAAACGATCTTTGTGAGAAATATAATTGCCAATTATAACTGCAGCATCGAAAAATTGAGAAAAATTGTTTAAAAGAGCTAGATAGATTGAGCGCGTTATACAAATATGTTAGACGTGAGGATTATATATTCATTTGTTTCTTGCCGCTAATCTTTTCTGTATACCACAGCCAAACTTTATAACAAGTATGATTGGCCTTAACATGGATAGGCGCCACAGAAAAACATTCTTTCTAAATTTCACAAACAGTTCAGATATAAATTCTGTCTCTGTCACTTAGATTGATTAAATGCGAAACATATGCGATATCACAGTATTTGCTAATCATTTATGTACCTCAGTTAATTTTGCGCACCAAGAAAATTTTTGCTGTAGTTGCAATACCACTTTTTTGAGTGCTGAAGACTGATCTTATCTGATCAGTTATCGCGCGAATACATTTCAACGATTTAAAGAATTCGGAGAGATAAACACGTATGTGTATTTCCGCAATCCCTACACCGAAATTGCTCGTTGTAAATGCCTCCGAATACCGATTTCTTCGTGTTCTCACGAGCTTTTCTCCATACGGGCTTGCGTGTTCATCCATGTTCCATTTGTCTCTCCCCTCCCCGTCCCAAGTATCGATCGTCGAACGACACACCGTGTATTGAAACTCCGCGTACCCACGAGAGGGTAGGTACCTGTGGAATTGACAGTGCAAAAAGCTCCTTTCGGATCTGAAGTTCGGCACGTGGAGAGATTTGCAAATTCGGCGCCCGGAACAGCACGAGCGAATATCCGTTGTATGCAAATCGGCAGTTCGTACGGCAAACGCGTTTGCAGACGAGTTTCGCATACGAATTAGCGAAAAACGATTTCTATTACGGGCCACGCGTGGATACTATAGCCATAAAATTTAATATTCGTATGTACGACATACGTACGAGTGTATGAATGAACGAAGTATGTGTATACGGATGATATCTACCGAAATCGAGCGTTTGTTTATTTGTTTAATGTAACGAATAATGAGCACAGGCGTACAAATATGTATTTTTCTGCAAGCTTTTCATTTATTATTTTTTTTTTTTCATTACTTTTTTTAATTTTATATTTCTCTTCTCTTTATTACTATATTCAAATATATTTTTAGTTTCAAATTTTTTTTATAACTCGCAGTTTTATAATTATCTTTTATATAGGCAAATTTTTTATACTTTATATGATATTAAAACGAATTGTATCATAAAAGATATTTATGTATTGTAAAATGAAATTATACATTTTGATCGCGCGATATTTTAATGCGGAACGATCGCGATTAGGGAACAAAGGCTTTAAAGAAGTATTAGCATGAAGTTTGCGTGACATGAAAATTAATAATGCCTTTAATTTGTATGCAACTATAAATTGAATTTGTTCCACGGAAATAATGTCCATTAAGGAAGCATTAACAAGGGCATGACTAAGGTGTAATATCATTATCAGCGCATTTTAATCTACTTATATATTTTTAAACCCCTGTCGGCTTTCGTTAAAATGCATGTAAATATTGCAACATATACGTCGGTTTATCTATAAATAAAATCACTGAACACGAAACCAATTATAGGTGCAATAATGTTTTTACATCTAGCACAGCGAGGCCAGATGTCAATAAATTATCGCGTATTCTACCCAATACGCATCAACGAATCCAATAAATTAACACCAAGAAAAAAAGTGGAGCACGACAGAACTCCTATTGTCTTCAACAGTTAGATTATAGTTTGAATTTTTCGATTTTGCCGCGAGGTCATGTTTACTCTCTCTCTCTCTATTGATCGCGGGATATCGCGGGTATGTAATCTACTTATGAAATCTATGAAGTTGTAGAAGCACACAGACTTCTCGAACTTATCCTAGTCTCTGAGCTCGAACAAAAACGCAGTTAGCCACTTTTATCTGAGATCAAAAGAGAAAGAAATATCTAATTTAAACATATCTTCGCGCGCGATATTGCTTATACGAGTCATAAATTAAATTTACCGTCGAGAAACCATGTAAGATTTGATAGAAATGGCCAAGCTAAGAGAAATGAGGAAATAGAAATATAATTTCAAGTAAACGAAGCAAAACAAGCACGTCTGTGTCTTGCTCAATTAAATTATTTTACGATGACATAACATTATCGAAATAATTGGAAAACATTATTACGATAATAAAGAAAATGATATTGAAACTATGGTTATATCATTGGAAGTTCAATCGACTTGATATCGATTGATATCGAAATTTGTGGCGGAACAATGTTATTAGATCGAGTATTAAAATCGTTTCTCGATAATATCCCCCATAGTGAAATTCATGAGCTTTCTTCTTTCATCGCGCTCATCGATCATATTGCTCAGCTGTCTAGGAAATTAACAGCGAGGTTAGCAATTACGTAAAATGTTCTAGCTGTAGATCAGAGTCGGAAAATTCCGTGGAATATTGAAACCAGCGAGAAGTTTATTCTATCTACCTATTCGTCTGGCTATGTCTGGAATTCGACGTCTCAATTATAGAGACTGAGAGAATTTTTGAAAAATCTCATTTCAGTCTTTTAAGAATCATCGCGTTTGCATATTTTTTAACGATTATCTCTTTCAACGAGCTTGTATTTTCAAAAGTCTGCTTTTGAGAGAGAGAGAGAGAGAGAGAGAGAGAGAGAGAGCAATTTCTACGAGTGTATTTTAGAATATAATCAATAATCTTTTCAGAAATTAAACACACGTTGTGTCTCGCGCGATTCATTTACTTGCAAATCTTTAAATCTCGAATACTGAATCATTCTGTGAATGATATCTCAATTTTATGAACGAAGTGCTCGCGTCGCAAGTGGAAGTTTCTCAGTATCATTTCAGAGCCATATGCGGCTCCCCCGTTTACGTAAATGCGCATCTCAATTCCCACTTGATTTTTTTATGACCGATCTTGCAACCAGAGA